TATATATATATATATATATATATATATATATATATTCTATTTCCATTAATTGTTGTTTAACTCTATTTAGTTCTCCCAATACTGGTTTTAGATTAGTTTTGTGAAATTTTCTAATTCTTCTCCCCCCCCCCAATCCAATTGCGATGCAAACATTATAAGAATTACTCTCATATCACTATTACATATCTCCAATATTCCTGATCTTCATAGTCTCTGATATTCTTGATGTTGTATTTATGTTGAAGAAACATTTTGTTTTTTATATTTCTGGAATATGACTTCTTTACAGACTGTTATTCACCCTCTATTTGAAAAGCAATTTTTCTTTTCAAAATTGGATTTGGTCCACATATGTCATGGACAGAATTTCAAGTTCCTTAATAAATGATGTGAGTGTCTTAAAAACCTAGCAGATATCAATTATTGAATATCTACTATGTCTTACAGAAAAGAACATATAGTCCCTTTATTCAGGATTTGTAGTCTCCCAAGCATTCATCAAAGCAAGAGTGTCCATGTATTGAAAAACCCTTTTGGGATTTTTTCCTCCATTTTTCTCTTTGAGAAGTGAATTTTCTAAATTCAGATCTAGCATTTCATTCATGTATTCCCATCTACAATTTCTATTAGAATTTTTCATAGAATCTTTCATTAGTCATATCTGGGGCATAGATGAATTTCAGATTTAAACTTTTACTTTCTTTTCTTAATATCAAAATTAAAACTAATACTTTTTATCTTTTCATTTCTCTAATGTCTTCTAAGAGGGTGATTTAAGATAAATTTGAATCTGGAAATTCTCCATGTATTTTATGTATTACAAGATTATAATTATAGCTATGGTATAATTATAATATGTGGTTCTGTCACTATTACTAAAATCATTTTAAAAACTAGACAAAAAACATCATTAGTTAACTCTATAAGAAATTGATTAATAGGAATTAACATAACTCTTTTGTTTTAACATAACTCTTCATACTATTTCGATAATATCAAGATACATGAATTATATAAAAAGCATTAAACCTATATATTATATGCCACTCTAGCCTATAGTTTATTTGTTGAAGTCAAATGCCTAATCTGCAGAAATTAATAATAGACAAGGTATTTAATCAAGGGATAAATAAAATAACCTTTACAATAATTATAAAATGTATATTATGGATTCTTCTCCATTCTCTATAAACATTTTTTATTATATTCTAATTTATTTCAAATTTGAAATCGCTGGTTCATAATTTTTATATCACTTATACTAGCAGCAATCTACATACTGGTCTACATATTAATGGGCTTATCAAAAATGATGATTCTAAATAGTCAGTTGACTATTTATATTAACACATTATATAACATTAAAGAATCTAAGGTATAATATATAATACACTACCCTGTATATAGTGAGAATATATACTCAATTATGAGAATAATTGATATTTAAATGTTTTCTATTATATATATATTTCAATTAATACTTACCTCTTTTTTGAACCCAGCCTTCTTTCACAATTGTAACATCGCTCATGATGGCTCTACTGAGCCTTCAGATTAAAGAATATTTTGCAGTATTACTTTTAGAGTTCCTTTATTCTTCTGACTTTCCAATATTTTAAAGCAGCCTGAAAGTGTAAATAAACAAAAATTAACTCTTCTGATGTCCCAGTGCTTAATACTCAACCTATTTATTTATCACACTTATACAGCTGCTCATCTCACTAAAAATGATTCTAGACAGCATACAGCAATCCAATAAAATCACAGCTATATAAAGCGACCATAAAAATATTTTTAAAGATTTAAAAAGAAAATACTATAAAAACTTTAAATTATGCAAACCACACAAAATGATCAAAATATCAATCATGGAGAAGTTGTCTAAAAAAGTTTTCAGCTTGCTGAGACCCCCAAGCTTGATAATATAACAAAGTCTTATGAAACTTCCAAAATAGCAGAGATGGAGTTAACATGACTTCAGGGGCTTGAAAAGAACGTTCCTTAAGGCAAATGTCATACAACAAAGGCCTGCCTCCTGGTACCCATCAAATGTAACACCCTAGAAGATAGTATTGGTAGTATGTCTTCTCAGATTGAATGGGATTGGCTGATGTAATCACCTAAAGGAGGGGTCCCCAACCATCAGGCATGTGTAGAACCTGGCCACGCAAATGGGGGGCGCTTGCACTTGCGTTTGAAGCTCCCCTCAAGCAAGCAGTGGCCACTTGTGCTTGCAGCAAAACTCCCTTTCCTGCTTCTCACACAAATGGAGCTGTGCACACTCATACACACCTGCCTTCCACTCACAGGGAACTATTCCCCCCCCCCCAATGCCGGGGTGGTTATGCCAGAAATGTTGGGGACCGCTGATCTAAAGGCAGTTCCTCAGATATCAGGTCCTATTTCATGAAGGACTTTAAACGTTAAAACCAGCATCTTGAATTGGACCCAAAGGCAGATTGGCAATCAAACAGCTTGTGGAGCAGAGGTTTCTATAAGTAAATATAAACTGCCTGTGACACTGCATTCTGCAGCAGTTGAAGATTCCAGATATTCTTCAAGGGTACCCTCATGTACATTACATTACAGTAGTCCAATTTGGAGGGCATAAATGACTGTGAGCAGAGCCGCCTGATCCAGGAAAGAAGGCAATTGGTGCAAGATGTGCAAAGGTCCTCCCAATGTGGCAATTTCCCCCCAAAATATACATAGAATAGTTTATTAAAAATGTGAAATGATGTAGAGGAGCAAGCAGAGCTACGGAGCAGGTTAATTGTATGATGAGCCAGAGTCTTTATGTTGCCACAAAAGGTCCAAGCCCAGCCTCTCTTGAATTCCATTGACCCTTAACTGGCACCAATTTGTACTGAACTATAGTTGGCTAGAGTCTTGAGTATAAATATGAGCAATAAATCTTTTGAACTGCAGCTTAAGGCATCCTAATCCTTTGCGCCTGTCAAATTCATAGATACCACTTAACACATAGCAATAACAACAATAATAACAAAAAAAAATTATCTAGCATCAGGATAGCATGGTGTGAATAAAATTTGCCTGGCCAAAATAAAAATCATTATTTTTGTCATCCATTTCATCAATAAACTATGGTTCCTAATACATATACTTTTAACAAGTTGCCTCTGTCAATATTTCAACATCGCTGTGATGGATATTGGTGAGCATTTGTTTAGTGACTGTTTGAAGATGCTGAAAAAAGTGACTTACAAATAGTCATCGCAAAATAACTATGGTACATGTCTACAACAATTGCAACATCCCATAATCATGTGTTCAAAGTTCAGACACTTGGCAACACATGTATTTACAATTATTGACAGGGTCACATGATCACCATTTGCAATCTTCCCAGGGGGCATCTGACAAACACTGAATGGGGAAAACCAGATTAACTTAAAACTTCATGACTGCTTAATGACCAAAGTGATTTGCTTAACAGATGAAACAACAAAGGTCATAAACTTGGAGGCAACTCATTTAACAGCCAAACTGGTTACCAATTGTGGTTATAAGCTGAGGACTATTATATGTTACTTTAAATTTCCCTTTAAGAAAAAAACATCCAGCAAGAATGGTTTTAGATATGGGAGATCTGCAAACCTCTCTTAAAAATCCCAACCTCCTGCAAAACTGCCTGAAACCACACCATTGAAATTATCTTATTTTTGCGCTAAATTTCAACAGGAGAATTTGTACTATTTTTTTAAGATCTCAGATGAGAAATAGGGAACAATTTATTTTCCTGAGACCAGCACACTTCCAGCCAAAAAAAGGACCAAAAATGCTTTGCTCTTACAGTGATCACTTAGTCACTAGAAATCTTGCTGGGAACTTGTCAAGATTGTCAAGAAGTTGCCTAACTCTTCAAAACTTGCTTGTCACTCAGTTAACTGAAGAAATTAAACTCTCCATTCAGAAATGCAAGAAATTATTTCTTCATCAGTCTGACTAATATAAAAACCTCTTATGATGCCCAACGAGTAGTGCTAAATCATGTTATTTGGATGTGTTTTATTCCAATCTGGATAACTTTTATTCCAAAGACATCAGCTCTGAAATGATTTTCCAAAATCAGTAAAGTCATTTGGAAACAATCTTTTCTTACTCCCCAAAACAACAAACATACAATGCTGATCGATGTTCTCATTCCCATCATAAAATAAGCCAAAGAAACACAATACAGGTAGCCCTCAATTTATGACAAGTTGCTTAGTGACCATTCAAAGTTACGGTAGACAAAAAGAGATTCACAATTTGGTTTTGAAGTTTCAACGCTGCACCACTCTGTGAATATGTGATTACATTTTGGATCCCCAGCAAACAATCTGCATTTACAGCTTTTTGCAGCACCCTGTATCATGTGATCCCAATTTATTAGCATTTTGCCAGAAACCAGCATTTAATTCTTCTCTCCAAAAAAACCAGGCCATAGTGAATAATGGGTCATTTAACAGCTGAAACACTTGCTTACTGCATTCGCTTACCAATTGCTGCAAAAACGGTCGTAAAATTGGGGCCTGTCATATAATGACCCATTTTGCAACCGCCACAACTTATAACCATAATTCTCAGTCTTAATTACATTCATAAATCGAGGACTACCTGTATTTATATCAAACCACTGAATTATACACTTGGATGCTATACTTGGAAGCTATACAACCTAGTGGACTCAACTTAATATAAAAATGTTACAAGTTTAATACAAGAATTTGATTTTAAAAACTTAAATGAAAGATAGATCAGTCTTGATTGACATTTGGTAATAGGTCCTAAATATCTCATTAGGCAATTAGTTCCACTGTTAGGAAGCATGAGTATCTACAGGGGAAGGGGGATAGAAAAATATGAAATAGGTATCAGAATACTACAGCATAAACCATTGCTGATGTTATGGATTCTGACAATGCAATGTAGATTCAAAGGCCAGGAGTCACACTATATATTCCATCATTGTTTTCTCATCACAGTTTTCTCCATACATTAATATTACAAAATTCTTTCTGGTGATCATTTAACAATAGAAATTGCAATATCATTTAGGCTTATATACTACCCCATAATGCTTTACAGAATCCTCTCGGCAGTTTACAATGTCAGCATATTGCCCTCAACAAGCTGGGTCCTCATTTTACCAACCTCAGAAGGATGGAAAGCTGGGTCAACCTTGAGCCCCAACAGAATCAAACTCCAGGTTATAGACAGAGTTTGCCTGCAATATTGCATTCCAACAACTGCACCATCAAGGTTCCTCCTAATTAAATCCATCTCCTAATTAAACTATGAATTTTCTTCCCAAATGCATAATATGAATACTGTATGTTAAGAAAACAAACTAGAAAGCAAGTTATTTTGGAGATTGCAGTTAATGATAAAATATTTCAAAATGCTTAACATTCCAAATATATTTTGAAGTTCAGAACTGCATTAAAGGCAAAACAGTTATTTTTATCATATTAAAAAGTCCTTCAAAAAAAATTTAAAATTATCTCATTTTGGACAACACATACCAGTAGAATTAAAAACAGAAATAATAACACAATTTTTAAAATCATTTATAAAAACCTTACAATAACACTTGCCTGGATCAAAAAACTATTTTATCTTGAAGCACTGAGACAGTAACAATTAGAAAATGGGCGTTGCTTAAACCCAGTCCAAAACCCTATGGGAACATCAGGGCCTTTTAACGCTTTACAAAAGGTCAACAGGATCAGAGCCATTTTCATAGGGAAGGGATAATTCTTAATTCCCACAAAATGATACCATTTAATAGAAAAGCGAGCATGCCATCTTTTATCGGTGAGTTGGGCAGAGACAACTGAGGACAGAAGTTTCTGTAGGTAATCTAATCTGTGCCATGTAGGATTTTATAGATTATAACCAGCTGTGAAATTTTCCTAGAAGCCTACTAGGAGCCAGTGCAATCTGCAAAACAGAGATGTTATATCCACAAATCACGAAACAGTCCAAATTGCTGTCACCTCTGTCTATTCTGGACCATTGTTATTGCTAAATACTTTTCAAGGGCAATTCCATAATCTGCTTCCTCCAAGGCTCTCTCGCTCACAATCCTGTGTTATCTCTGACCCTTCTTATCCAGGAAGAATTGGGTCATCTTGACTAGTGTCACTGGCCACCTCTCTGCAGATGCAATAAGAGTGGAAAAATCAAAATCAAATACAAGCTAAGGATAACCAAGGTTCAATATTTGTCACTCTCATTCAGAAAAAGATTGTTGCATCCAGCAACAGCCCCCCATCAAAAATTCCCTAACAAAAAATCCCCAATTCAACACCTTACTGTTGTCAAGTTTTTGCAGGAAAACCCCAGCTAAATACCAAGGTCCAAAGTGGTAGACGAATTTAATAAGATGGCCACTGTTTCATATGGTCAGTTCAGTGGTAGCCACAGGATGCAAGTAATTCCTCACTCAAGACCACCACCCTCCTGCTACTATTGTCATCTGATTCCAAATCCAACTACTAGCAACTATCCAGCAGTCCAATGTAAACCTTCTCCACCTGCTCTATTGCTTGCACCTTCAAGAGGCTACCATCTGAACCAAAAAGAAAAAGTTAATACCGGTAGTCCTCAACCTATGACC